TTTTGACATGTTGAAATATGGCAAATTAAAAAAAAAAAACAAAAACTTAAAATAAAATTCGGATGTAGTTTTTCCGAAGAAAAAAAAACACGTACTAATGAAAATTCGATTCGTCTGATGGATTGTACCTTATGTCGGTAGATGGAGTAGAAAGGAGTAAAAAATTAGACTAAAACTTTGTAAAAAAACAACAGCGAAGAGCATTGCGCACGATTTCACCAGGACATAGCCACTATGAAGAAGTGGTATGACTATGGAGAAGTGGTATGATAAGAAATCAAACCTCCACATGCTTGCTGACTATTGCTGGGACCTTGAAAAGTGATGATAATACGTTCCACAAAAAAAATAGGAATTTATTCCAGAAAGCAGAAAGTGTTAAGAGACAAACTACTGGCTAATGATGAATCTGAGACACTGATTTTTTAATGCAGATTTTTTCATGAAATCATTTTGTTTTCAAAGTAAATTCATAGATTGACATTTTCGTGCTTGACGGAAAACAAGCGCATGCGATTGAACAACTAATTTTTTTTTTTAATTTTTCACTTGTTTCTAATCAACTCATCGACATGAGCATATTCATTAAAACGTGTTTTTTTTTTATCCGTCAAACTACGTCAAATTCTATTTTTAAAAAATTTTGAAATTTGCCATTTTTGAACTTTTTTCATCACTTCAACAGTTTTTTTCTCAAAAACTGAACATGCTAGAAAATACACTTCAAATTAGCATCAAAAAATCTATAAAATGAGGTCGGCTCCGTTTTTGATATAAAATACGACCTATTTTTGTCGAACCATGTAAAAAAAACCATGTTGAGAAATTTTAAATCGCTAGCTTGGAGAAACCGAAAATGCTTAAAAGCTGTTCTAAAGATGCCAATGAATCAAGTATTTTTTGAGAGCCAGCCAACGGGATATATGTATGTACATTAGAGTGGTCCAAAAAAGTAAAGTCGGAATATTAATGCCACCACCCCACAGGATTGTTCTATACTGAAAAAATATATCCCTATTTTTTATTTTGAAATCCAAAAATATTAAGGGACTGCTCAAAGCGCTCATATTTTCCATATACAACAACTTTTCGTAAAAATGGTATAAAATTCTTGAACATCAATATTTTCCTAGTTCTCTTCAGGAGACTTCCAATATTAATACCCATTTGTTTATACTAAGGATTTTTTATTGGTCACCCCATTGCATTTTCTGGGGGACCAAGTTTTTAACCCAGATATGCCCAATGTCCTATAAATAGGACACCTACACAACAGTTTACATGACGAGTAACGTTTTTCCATGAGCCACTTATTTTACTCATTTAATTAGTGCTTGGTCATCCCTACCTGTGACAGTACGTTTTGGTAATTTTTTACCAAAATCTCTATGTAATTGATTTACAAAGTTGCAGGTTTTCGGTATATGGTGCTATTGTAAAAATTTGCTTATTCAAATATAAAAAAATAAAGTTTTTTTTTTGTTTTCATATATAAATACGACATATTCTTCGATTGTTTTATGATTGGTGAATTTGTTTTTATGTTGTTATATTACTTTTGTATTAGCAAAAAGGGTGGTGTCCCACATGTAGGACATTGGGCATATAATATACTATAAATTTCCTACAGAGGATTTTCTCTGCATGAATCTTTGGCTCGCTCTTTTAGAGGATGATAATATAGATTTCGACAGCATAGCATTATTTCCAGAAATAAATTACCGACGAGAATTATGTCGGAATAAATAATTATCCGGTTTCGCACATGAAAAGGAGCGTTGAAGTCTTTTCGGAAACCGGTTTTGATGATCAATGGGATCCCGGTAGTGACATACCATTGTCCAAGGATCGGATGCAATCGGAGTTTCAACAAGCGATACTCCTAACAAGAGCAAACTCGTATCGTAAAATATTGTAATAAAAGCATGGGAGGTATCGATCGTTCAGACCAAAATATTAGCGTCTACCACAGTGCTATGCGAAGTAAGAAATAGTGTTTTCCCTTAATAACTAACTGTGTGGAAATGGAGGCACGAAATGCCTGGCAGACTCATAAACACAATGGCGGAAAAATGGATCCCTTACCTCTCAGGAGAAGTATTATGACAAAAAAGAATTGGGCCCAGATGTGGCGCTTGTCATCAGAAAACCACAATAAGATGCCAAAAATTTAACATTGGATTACATGTCAAATGTATTGTCACAGATCATATCAAATAAGTCAGACAAAGTTGATAATATGTCATGTTCCCAATGTCCTATATATAGGACCGCTTTAAAATATATGTTTCCATTTTTTTTTTTTTAAATCATTACCCCACCCCGTCTTTTTATCATAAGTTTAGATGAATATAATCTCAAAACCCGTTGAAAAGGTAATGTACAACGAATGGGCATATCTAAAACTTTAACTGAAAGTCGGCACGGGTTATTGTTGTCTTACGGTCATAAAACTTCATATATATGCAATTTAGGCTACACATTTTTTGATATACTCATGGGACAGTCTAACACATACATATTTACATATAAAAACCGCATTCCCGAAAAATTGTCAACTAGGTTCCTTCGTATTGATGGTATTTGATTTCAAGCTACACTACCAAAAACCTTGTTCCTAACTTTATTGCACAGTTAAACTTGCTATTGAATCTCCAAATGCTAGGTACAAAAAAAACATTGCTTCTAAAAATATTTATTTACTTTTCAAAGAAAATTTAAATTCAATGAAAAGCTTTTGCCTAAAAATTACCGGTAAATATTGGCTGCATTTCTTTACTCATTCTGAACGTTTGAAATAAACTTTTTTGTTTATTTATTCTTTAGAACGTTCCTGATGATATGTTGAGGTATATTTCAAACGCATTCTGTTTATTCCGGTTGTGAAATGGGATTATCCGGAATGTATAAAGAAACGCAGCCATTGTCTTCCCAGAGAGTTTTGCTTCACATCTAAATTCGTGCTTCCTTATTTTCATTTTGACGCAGTTCAGTGTTGATTCTTTTACTTTTATTTGGCTTTGGTTTTTGTTTTTGCTCAATTTAATTTTTATAATTTTTCATAACAAAAGAAAAAACGTTTGACGTGAAGAGAGCCATTCAAATTTGAATTTATTTACAAGCAAATATTTTTTTCCGCCATTTGCAAATTAAATAAGTTCTCTGCGAGAAGGTTTCTTTAAAAAAATACGTATACATATATGGTACATGGGATATAGAAAATCCCTTTTCCCTAGCAGTAAACCTTTTAGTGGGAGCAACAATGATATTTTTAAATAAGGCAGATCCGAATATACGCTCTCTGGGAAGACAATACCTGTAATTATTGTACCATGCTTTTCCGAATTTTTTTTTATCTCACATTTTATTTTACCACGAAAAAGAAACAAATAAATGAATGTAGTATTTTTCGCATTACTTTCACAAAAAAACAGAAAAGTACAAGTACACTTCCTTAAAAAATTAAAAACAAAAACTTTCACTCATATTAAAAAAAAAAAACATAAAATCTTGTACCGTAAAATTTATTAGGTTTAATAAAAAAGTTGCAAAATAAAAAGTTGAAATATTTACCAATAACTTATTTCAAGAATTATAAATAAATATCTTTCACTCAATATTTTTGACTATTTCTTCAAAAATTAAATTAGTTTCCAAGAAATGAAGAAAATATTTCATTCATATATTTTTTTAAGAAATATCTTAAGTTTGATAAAAAAAAAATGTTCGTAAAACATTTTGTACTTTTTTATAAGAAATTTAGGGGTCATATAGGAGATATGCCATGCTTTTGAGGCTTAGTACAAAAAAATTTCCTAATAAATTCTGCCATCAAGCAAATATTTATGAATTTAGCAATTATTTTGTAACATTTGTAAAATAAGAATTGTGTGCGTTTTTAATACAACAAATCGTTCAAGAAAAAAAATTCAAACCCGGTAAGAAACTCAGTATCACTATGCAGGTACCTGTTACTAATACACATCGCCCACCAAAAGATAAAACAAAAAATCCACTTATGTACACTCCTCGTCATTTGAACAGCGGGCCCTTTTAAGCCCTAGTATTTAGAGTTGTCCTTTTGTTTATTTAATATTCATATTTTTTTAAATCCGATTTTAAAATTTTATACAAATTAAGAAAAAATCCACAACGGAGTGCGCCACCCTAATGACCGGCAGTGAATAAGTTAATAATATTTTTAGAAAAATTTTGTCCAGCATAGATACTTTGCATGGAGGAAAATGCGCAGCAAAAAAAATTTAAAAACCAGCGCTGTTTTACACCCACTTGAAACTTGCATTTTATTATACTAAAGTTGACAATAATCAATATTAAATAAACAAAAGGAAAACTGTAAAAACTAAAGACTTGAAGGGTGCACTGTTCAAATGACGAGGAGTGTATCAGAATCAGAATGAAGTCCCAAATTTTTCATAAACCACTTTTACCTTATTGAAAAACTGCAATATTTAATACTCCAGGAACATATCAGATTCAGTAAAATGATTACTGAAATCGTTTTCGAAAAATAGTCCCAATTTTTTGTCGATATATTTGCTCATAACGTATTCCGAAAATTTTCCAGACACATTTATTTAAAAAATGTTGAAGTAATTGATTCTTTAAGTTCTGAATTCGAGTGGCCCGAAAGAAATGTACTTTTTTCATTTCATTTCATTTATTAAACAAATTCATTAGTACAATAGATCTTAAAGCTCTTTTATAGTACAACAGTAATTATAAAGCACAAACATAAAGCAACGAAAGGAAAACAATAAGTAAAAAAAAAATATAAAAAAATAAAAGAATACGAAAAATGCAACTAATTCAAATTCCAGATACAGGTACATATGTATGTATGTAAATTACCATTTTTTAGGGGATTATTTTTTCATGCATATCTTTCGCAAATTAAGTTTTTTATTCATGAAACGCTAGGTATTATGTACACATGTATGTTGCCACCTTTTTCGAATATTATACAATATATTCCTTACCTTGAAAAACAATTTTTATTAGTTTTGATTTCTGTTGAAGTTGACACAGCTTCGATGCAAAAATTTCTATTCCACTTTAAATCGTTGGAGCTACGTGGGGTAATAAAAAGAGATAATAGAAAACAAGTGATTGAAAAAGCACAGAAAAAAGCACAACAATGTTTTCGAAGTGAAGCAGGCACTAAATAACAACAACAACACGAACGAACGAACGAACGAAAATGTTACAAATTGCTTCAGTCAATAGCAAAGTGGAAAATAAGTAAAATTTGTGTTAAATATATGTATTTCTAAACACACACACACACGCATACACACGCACGTACGCATGCGAATAAACTAGTACGCGCGGGCGCGCGCGCGGACGCTAAAAAACGCAGAATCGAAAGCGAAAATGGTGAGAAAATTGCTAACTGCAACGGACGCGAAAATTGAATTGCAACGCACGAAAAATCGCGTACCTATGTAAACGAATACATACAGTGCAAATATGTACACGGTTGCATATGTATGTATGTACATATATGCGTGTACGATTTTTCAAATATGGAGGAAAACAATTTGAGAAATTTTGCAAAATATGCCTGGAATAAAAACTACAATAAATAATGAAAATTTCAAAATGCGTAGAAAAGCACTCAAACGCATGCGCGGCGTTACGCGTTGCACACAAGCATTTTTTTTTTAATTTCAAGTGAATTTTTGCTGTTACGTAACGCGAATCGAATTAAAACGTTTTCATTTTTTCTTCTTTAATTTTTCACTATTTTTAGATTTTTCGATTTTTTGCAAAGTAATCACCAGGAATTTTTCAGAACCTTACTGCAGCGCAGCTAAAAACAGACTCAACTTTGCTTATGTCAGCAACGACCACAACACCTGCAGCGGTGTGGCTTTGGTCGATTCGGCCAGCAACACCTGAACGAGTAAAGTAGCTGCAACAGCAACAGCAGCGAGCGATGCGCGTACGGCTGACTGTGAACGCTGACGCAGCCGCCGAGCTTGACTGCGCCGTGCTAAAGTCAACAACAACAGCAGCGTCGCCGCGGCAATGCACAAACACTTCATATATGTATGTATGTACGTGCATATGTACGTCTGTGCGGATGAGCAACTTCGTTCGAGCGGTTTAGGATTGCACGAACGAAGATCGACGCTAGCCTCGGCTGTTACTGTTACCGCTGCTGCTGACATCTATCATTGGCCGACTGCTCAGCGACAGTATTGTCCTCTGCCGCTGCTGCTGCGCAACAGCTGCTAAATATTAAATGCGCACTGCTAATTAACAGCCGCTGGCAGAGTCGCACGATTCTACCAGTTTTTTCTCTTTGTTTGCTGTTGCTTTTCATGTCCGATGGCAGTTGTATTGTTTTGTTTACAAACTTTTACAATTTAAGGTTATTGTTGCCGTTGCGGTTACTGATGTTGTCGCTTGTATGATCAATTGTTGTTGTTGTTCTTATTATTCGTGTTATTGCATTGTAATTTCTGTTTAGTGTTGTTGTCGCATCATCTCACGTCCCACAGATATTATCTGTAAACGTTTAAATATTCTCAAAATCTCTAAGCTGGCTTTGCTTTACAGATTTAAGTAATTGAACGCTTTTGGGGTTAAACACGTTCAAGTGTGGGCATTGCGACATTAGTACTTAATTTTAGATTTTCATAAAAAATATGCTTTCGTAGAGACTGCCGGGAGGCAATAACCCGAATCTGTGATGGCTAATTTTATTTTATGTGCACTTGCTTTGAACTTGTGTAGTGTGAGGACTAAAAATAAGCCTTTGAAAAAACTTTGAAGACCTTTCGAAGGCGATATATTTGAACCCTCGGTATTTGGGATCGGTTTAGGGAGCTCAGGAAGACAGCCGCGCGTCCACACTTCCACAGCAAAAAGGGAATGGCCAATATGTGTGGGTGCGAAGACCATTAAATTCTGGGCGATAGGAAGGCTAAGTTAGATTAAGGTGGATTCCTTAGCAAAAGGACGCACTTGAACAATAAAGTTATTGTCCTTTGTAATACCACGAATTGAATGGGGACCATTAATTAAGTCGACGACATGCCGCGAGCCGATTACAAAATTTCGAATGCCTGAGAGCTGAGAGCTGAGGGTTAGCTACGAAGTGCCAACCCAGGTGTTTTTATCTTAGCTTCTCGAAGGCTCAACAGGATAGAAAGTGTTCCACGGCATCTTCCACTTGATAGATAGTAGATCAATTAAGATCCCTAGTCTTATAATGTCTTTCAAAACGCTTCAAGAGCTAAGGCTTTGTCTGTGTTAGAAGCTTCTCGAAAAATCTGAGCGAAAACGAAATTTTTGGAGCAGATTAACATTTTTTATTAAATAGTTTAGTATTGAAACGGAGTGCTTGTAAATCAGCTTGATCTCTAAATAGTATTCAAAGCAAACTTTCCATGAATATATTTGTATTTATTTTTTTTTTAAAGTAAATAATCAGACGGCGTAAAAAATCATTCCGCAAGGAATGTTAAGGGGTAACAGCGACAACTTCTGTTACACCTTGATATACAAAACCTTGGTGGTTGCCATAGAAGTTACTGAGCAAAAATTTAAAAAGTTACCATATTATTTTTAATAAATTCTTAATGCGAATGGAAAAAAGTAAAAAAAATAGGAGCATATTAAGTCAAGCGGAGTAGGGACTAGATTTAAAATTTAAAAACGAAAACGGAGTAATCTACTCCGATCGGAGCAAAGTCCGGACGCTGACAACGCCTCAGAAACCTTAGATGCACTTAAATTTGCTAATACTTTCACAAGAATCGCCGGTTTTTTTAACATTTTCGCTATTAATTCTTTTTATAAATCATATATTTTGCAATTTAACTCAATAAAACCGCGTTTTCTGGCGAAAAATTGATTACTGAGAAGATTTACTATTTTATAGTTTATTTCATTCTCCCATTCGGATTTGTTTACTTTTACTTGAGAAATTTCAGCGTCGCCGGGAATGCGGAATCTTGTATTATATCATTCTTTGATACCATATAAGTGTTTAGTGTTGGACAATTTTTGCTCTTAAAATTAAGGCGTTTGAATGGTAGATGCTCAAAAAAGTGGCAGATCTACCACAATGTGGTAGAAGTCCGATCACTGCCTCCAATATGACTCCTAACTTGGACTCGTATTGGCGAGCCCTTCTGAGAATGAAAATATGCTATTTCCTTACTCCGTTTCGAACTCATAATAAGGGTTACTACTCAGAATACTCAGACTTTTTTTGATTCAGGGTATTTATTTTTATGATGTTTATTAAATTAAATAATACTATCACTTTTCCCCTAAAATAGAATGAAGAACCCTTATGTTCTTTTTCCTCGTTTATTTCCTTTTTGACATTCTTTTTCTTAAATTTAATGAGATTTTTGGTTGCTGACGGCTTATAATGAGACATTCTCCAAAAACTAAAAGTGCAGACAGTCAAGTCTACTTTTCAATACTGGTTCTTGTGTTCTTTTTTCCGTCCGCAATTCACTTTTACTGACATGGGTACACACATCCACACATACTTACATAGTCTTTTGTTTATGCTAGCTTATGCATATACATAGTTTGCAATATCAATGGTTGATCTACCTTGTCATGTTGTTGTATCAGCAGATCACGTTGGCCAAATGTTTCGACTCCGGTGCTGAATAAGCGTTTAATCGAATAACCAAAGGTGATTTGGACTATCTTGCCAGTCAACTGTACATGAAGATGCGGTTTGGACCCACTTACACTGAGGAGGATCCTCTTCCTTTCGTTTATGGCAACAACGATCTTCTGATATTTGACTTTTTCAGCAAACGATCAAGTCTAACTGCTTGTTTCGGCTCTAGCTCAACCCGCCATTGACGCTTAGCGAACTGCGCCTATTCACATCATTTTACCTTCACGAAGTCCTAATTCAATAGCTCATTGTCCCTGATCGGTGAGGTGGCCTTTAGGATGGTGTGTTCTGATGAAGTCCTTGGACAAACTGAGGGCTTTAAAGCTTGCCGTTTGTATGTTAGATGCTAGGGTCGATGGGTTATGAGGTTAGTCCGCGTATTTGGACTTCCTGGTTCATTACATAAGCCCGTAATTATACGATGTACAATATGGAGCCTTCCTGTCTGCATCCTCGTTTGGCATCGAGCAGTTCGTAGAGTCCTTCCCAATTCTGACGAAGCTGAAGACATTGCTCAACCTCGTTTTACACAGCTGTTTTAGTTTCGCGGAGGTATAAAGTTCAGATATCGTATCATTCTATATTCCATCTAAAGCAATTTTAAAGTCGACAAGAGACGGTAAGAGGTCTGCGTCTTCCAGCCGTTGAACGCCTGGTCTAAGATGGATTTACGAGGTCTAAATACACGCTAATAAGGCCCGATGAGTTCGTTGACAGAGTACCTTATCCTTTCACTTAAATCGCGTATGGCTGGGTTTCCTTTATTGTGGTTTCGGCGTAAAACACTTAAATTTCTGTCGTCTGGCAAAATGATGCAGAATAAATGCATATTTTCAACTCCAGTCGCTTTATTGATCTTCTTGTGCGACACCGCGATATGAGTTCCTTAACAAGGCTGCTATGTTAGAACTCGCAAACATGAATCTTGCCTTGCCCGTACATCACATTTTTTGGATGGCGGTGCGAACTTCCCGAAGACAGAAACCAGACGAGCAGAGGCAACTTCCCCGCTTAAAGTTCGGACATTATTTTAAACGTTTGCCTGGTCATCATTCTCATTATTCCGCGTTTTTTTTTCAAATGAATGTTTATATCGCCAAAAACGTATAAAAACTTTTAACTCAATTAAATAAGATTATAAACTTACTTAATACTTGGAAGTTGTATTTACATATGCACATACATACATACATAATATGTAAATACGTATGATGATCCACAAGTGATGTGTCAATCACACACATACAAAGTGTATTTTATGTAATTAAGTAAGTTTGCCTCCCGCGGCGCTTAAGCATTGCTTCTCAACATTCGTTTTGTGACTGCAAACAAAACTCAATGAGAATTTTAATTCCGCCAGCGATTTGGTAACAGCAAAGAATTGTTGCCGCACACAGTGGTGCCAACGAGAAATTTACTATTCAAAAGGGGTCTACAGACTACAATTCTTTACGAATTTTCAATTATTTTTTTTACGAAAAATAATTACATTTTTAAGAGGTTTAACGGACCTTTATTTTTTTTAAGTTTTGTTTGTTTATATACATTTTTTTTGTGCAAAGTGCAGAGAAAGTAGAAATTTTGAAGAGAATCAATTTTCCCTTTCCTGTTAATAAATGTATAATGAAAACTAGTTGAAATCCATTAAAAGGTTCGCTTAAAACGAAGAAAATCGCACATGTAAAATTCTAAATCTTATAAAAAAAATCAATATTTTTTTTCTTAGAAAAATTTAAGGTATGCAGTTTTATAGCCTACATCTGAACTTGTTAAAATCTGAACTTGTTAGAAATAGCACTGATTTTTTATAATTTTTTTGCTAACATTTCGAGCACAAATGCAATAACGATAGTAAAGAGCGTGTCAGACGTGGCAAAATTTCAAGTTTTCCACGCAATTCGCTATCAAATTGAGAAGGAGAAATTTTATTTCGCAATCTGCGACTCGTCTTTCGGAAATAAAAAACCTCTTTTGAAAGACACTTTACTTGCAAAGTGTGACTGATCATGCAACTGCTTTCTGAAATTTCTCAATTTGGCAGCCTTTTCGAAATGTATTGCATTGCCACGTCTGACAGGCTCTTAAGACTGTTCAAAAGACTTTTATTATTCTAGTACAAAAGTTTAGAGAAAAAGCTCTCTCATTCACCGTTAATAGCGAGAAAGCACTGGTATATCATCTAGCTGGCATAGCCCCA